GTCTCCTTCGAATGATCGAGGACTTCATGGGGGACTCCACCCCGTTCCTCGACGGGATCACGACCTATCTCTCCGAGTTCAGCTACGGCAACGCGAAGGAAGAGGATCTCTGGCGACACCTACAGGCTTCGGCAGTGGACTGGGGGCTCGACTTCGGCGGACGCACCGTGGCCGACATCATGACCGGATGGACTCGTCAGACCGGATACCCGGTGGTGACTTTTAGCAGGGACTACGACACGGGAGAAGTCGGCATTCGACAGGAAAGATTCTTCAGCGATCCCGATGCCGACCCCGATACCACGCTCTGGATCGTCCCCATCAAATTCTTCACACCCGAAGGAGGAGACGGTTTACATTGGCTATCGGAGAAAGAAGACTCTCTCGAGACGCGACCGACCCCAGACGAATTTCTCTTCGCCAACATCCGCGCATCTGGTTTCTACCGAGTCAACTACGACCTCCGCAACTGGGAACTCCTCGCGACGGAGCTCGAGCTCGACCCATCCCAGTTCCCCGAACTGAACCGGGCCCAGTTCCTCGACGACGCATTCGCCTTCGTCTCGTCGGGACTCCTGTCGTCGTACGACGTCCCGTTGTCTCTCACCCGATTCCTGAAGAAGGAGCCGGAGTACACACCCTGGGTCACGGCTGCCAACCGCCTCGAGTATCTTCACCGCATGTTCGTGTCGACCGACCGACGAGATTCCTTCCAGTCGTATGCGCTGAGTCTCTTGGAACCGAGATTCGCCGAGACTCCGTTCGAGACGCTCGAGCAGTTCCCCGGCGTCTACGACGATATCGTCGACTGGTATTACGACTACACCATCCAAGGCTTCACTTGCGCCATGGAAAGTCCGGGATGCATCCAGCAGGCGTCAGAGCTCTTTCGAAATTGGAAATCGGTCTACGATCCTCAGGACCCCGACAAGCCCATCCTCAGTCCGAATGCCAAGGCCATCGTCCATCTTTATGGAATTTACGGAGGCGACGACAGCGACTGGGAGTTTGGGTACCAGCACTATCGGCTGACGGGATTCGAATCGGACAGGAACTCGATTCTGCTCGCTCTGGCATCGCGCACAGATGCCGCACTTCTTTCCCGACTGCTGGACGACATCCTGTCGCCGACGTCTCCCATCCGCGAACGAGACGCGCCTCGGGCATTCCGCCACTTGGCAGAAAACATCGCCGGTCGACAGCTCGCCTTCGACTTCCTGAGGGACAACTGGGACGCCTTCAAGGCTCGCTTCGGAGACATGGAGACCTTCGTCACCGCTTTTCAGGATTTCAACAGTCCGTCGGACCTCGGCCGACTCACAACCCTTCGCGACGAACATCCCGACGATGCCGATGCCTTCGCGACCGCTATCGCCGCCGTCGAAGGGAACATCGCCTGGATGGACCGACACTTCCAATCTATCGTCGATTGGCTGGATGCAAATGTTTAAATCAATATCATTATTTTATCTGGAAAGCGAATTGTGATTCCCCTTTTGCCAATTGGGGATGCAGAATGATAATGTCTTTCGACGTCCCTCTTTTGTTTTCTTTGGAGAGTTTTGGAGTAATTTTTCACGGAACTTCCTGCATCATCTCCATCGAAATTCGGATATGGTGTTAACTTTCTTGCATGAAAAATTCGTGCAGGTAAAGGAAACCCTCGACACTAATCCCTATGACGATGAGTTGGTGTTTTCACGGGACTGAAGTTTCCATAGCGATGTAGTGCAGCCGATCGATTTAGCCCTGCATGGGGACACTTCCAACTCTTATCCCCATGCACTTGATGAGACTTGCATCTTGAGTCGTTCGGATGTTGGAGGGAGTGTGCGGCGCCCGAATTTCCCCTCCTGATCAAATAGGTGTAAGGAAATTTAACAGCCCGAGTCAGATATGTGAGCAGGGGCTTTCTCGATTCCTCTGAAGGCGTGTCGAGTCAAGTCCGAGACAGAAAACTATCCATGTAGCTTCATAAAACGGGTTCTTTATTCGAGGAATGACGGTTGGGACACAATTGATTGAAAACATCCCCATTCTCCGTGGGAACAACTCTTCCCGGGATTTCTTGGATTCATCTCTTCCATCAATTCTTTTTAAAATGAGTCATTCCACGAATCAACACCCTCCAAAACATTACCACTCTGATTTTGCTGAAATCTAAACCATAGCTTTGTACCATTCAGAAAGTGAGGAATTCTAAATACTTTTAGACTTCGTCTCTTAGATCTACAGATTAGAGGTGCTAATAATAATGTCCGTTTTATCATATTTTAGCTTCTCTTTCTCCGTATCTGCTCATAACTTATTATCTCTTCAAGGATGAATAGCCGTTCATAGGTCTTCTGAAAGATCTTTTCCTGCCTTTTCTAATAGTATTAGAATATTTAAAACGATATATAAAAATTAGACCTTGCGACACAATCTAAATTCAAAATTCCCAAGCCATTTAGCAAAAGTGCCTCCTCTTTGATTTCAACAGAACCGGCTCATAAGCTCACCTTCTCAAGGAAAGCCCGAATTCATGGAGCCCGAATTTCCCCTCCTGATCAATTAGATGTAAGGAAATTGAAAAGCCTGAGTCAGATAAGTGCTCAGGGGATTTCACGAATCCTTTGAGAGCATGTCGTCTCCAGTCCGATGGACAAAGCTATCAATTTATCTTCATAAAAAGGGTTTCTGAATCCAGGAATGACGGTTGGGAGACAATTGATAGGAAACATCCCCCTTTTCGTAGGAACAACTCTTCCCGGGATTTCTTGGATTGACCTCTTCCATCATGTCTTTTAAAATCAGAGGCGCTAATAATAATGCCCGTTTTGTTATATTTTAGCTTCTTTCTCCCCGAAAAGGCTCTAAACTTATCTCTTCAAGGATGAATAATCGGTTCATACGTCTTCAGAAATTACTGGACCTGCTCATTCTAATAGTATTAGAATTTTTGAACAATCCCCCGACGATGCCGATGCCTTCGCGACCGCTATCGCCGAAGTCGAAGGGAACATCGCCTGAATGGACCGACACTTCCAATCCATCGTCTACTGGCTGGATGGAAATGTTTGAAACATTGCGGTTATTTTGTCTGGAAAGCGAAATGTGATTCCATTTGCTAATTTGGGTTCCAGAAATATACTCTCTTTTGAAGTCCCATAGCGATATAGTCCAGCCAATCGATCCCATCGATCCCTTATTCCCATGCAATGGATGATAATTTTTATCTGAACTTCCTGTATTATCTTGATCGAAACTCGTATATGGGGTGAAACTTCTTGCACGAAAAATTCGTTCAGGTAAAGGAAGTACTGAAACTGCGGGCCGCGGGTCGCATGCAAGTCTTTGTTCTTTGCCAATAAATACCATTGCATTAGTGAAATTTGGGCTGCCTGGATTTCTATTATGTAAAAGAAATACTAGTAATAATTTACTAGTACTTTATTTCTAATAAGTCTTACTAGTAAGAATTTACTAAAAGTGCGGCCTGCGCAAGGTTGTTCACATCCGTAGGCAGCCCCCAGCTCAAAAAGTTTTAGTACCGTTGCCTTGGGCGGACGCTCTGGCCTACATCGATCTCGAGGCATTGGGATCGATGAACTTCTCGGCCTATCTGAACGGGAAACTTGCCGCCTTAGCATGCGGCGCGAGGTGTTTGCCCTATGGCTTTTTTAGTCATAGGCTAGGTAGAATGAGTTTATAAAGAATTATTCCAGTTAAACTCTCAAGTGGTTTATGTAGTTCATGTGGCTGCAATTACTTACTTCTACTTTGTTGGAGATTAATTTGTAATCAAGAGTGTGTCGACCATAAGCGGGAATTGAATAAAACAATAGAACACTGAACGACACACTGACAATTGTTAGTTGATGATCGTCATGCTACAAGTCACATGGCGTTACTACGAATATGTACTAAGACATCTTTTTTTTAAGGTGTCACAAAGGTGTGGGATTTGTACCCATGAGCAGAGGAATTTGACCGTATTTCTAGGGGAGAGCATCGAAAACAAAACGGATGCGTTAAACTGAAATACATTTAAAATTTCCTTATATCGCAAAGCGCCGAAGGCGCGTCCATAGCGGGTTTGTTAGCCCTTCGGGCAAACAAGCTCGCTAGTCTAGTGGTTTCAGTGTTGGACTCGCAATCCGCTAGGCGCTTGTGTCACAGGTTCGAGTCCCAGCCATTCTCTGCCTTTGATCCTGGTATCCTGTCCATCTGGATACATTTGTAACATCTCTCTCGGCACCCTGATTTCTGAATTTACGCCGTGGGTCGTCTACCCATGCCCCTTCCCTTGTATATATATATATATATAAGTATTGTATATGTTATTATTAAGGAGATGTCAAAAAGTTGTTTGCAGGGTCGTGCCGCCGACGAGACTCCTGCACTGTTTGTCGGCCCATCAGGCTATTTTCACTTTCTTTCTCTTTTTAACGCTCTTCTCGGTTCCTTAACAGTTCCAATCCGTATTTTCTGGAGGTCTGCAGTGTGTCAATTTGAATTCTCCACTATTTCATAATTATTATGTATATTTATATATATAAGCATATAGCATGCCGGTCTTACCCTACCTTTCTGAAGAACTCCACGTCGTCGTATTCCATCACGGTTCTGCAGCGGTGGGGGGTTCTGCAGCGACTGGACGCGACCGCGTCCGGAGAGATAAAGAGGGAATCTCGAGATAAGTTCCGTTCCGAGATTAGAACGGGAAGAGCCGGATGCGCCGGTCGACCGTTCCGATTTCCCAGAACTTTAAATTTAACAGAAACTTTATTTCCGAGAATTCGAGAAAGGAAGAGTCACTGGTTGCTCGACGTCAAATGGCACTTTGCGGCAGTTGCTCATTTATTGCGGGATCAATACAAGAAGAGAAAAATGGACGCGGCTCTTCGGCTCTGCTTAGCTGAATCGAGAAATTTCAGGTTAAGCATTTTAAGCATTTTATTATATTTTAATTTTAGTTTGAGTATTTTGAACCTCGAAAAAAAATTCAGGATTTTCCATCAAGACGAATCCTCGCAGACCAGCACCGGACACATGGCCGTGGACCGCGGGGGCTCCTTGACGAGGAAGACCAGCGGTTGCCCCGGTTGTAAGGACCCGCCGTAGAGGACGGCCTTGCCGAGGACCCTGGCCAGGGCCGACGGATGGACCTTGCCCAGTCGGGCCCCGGACGACACCCCCGCCCCGCCGACGACCGCATGGACTCGGCCCCTCCGAAGCGGCTTCTCCAAATACACGATGGCCACGCGAGGACTCCAGTACGCGTCCGGATCGAAGCCTCCGGCAATGCACTGCGAAGTAACGATCGCATATCAACTTATCTTATTTTTATCATATAAATGGCTTATCTCACTATCAGACCTAGCTTTCCAGCAATATACACATACCGTACTCCAGATAAGTAGCTCCATTGTTCAAATAACTAAAAATTAACCACTCTAAATTAGAATGTAAAATTTAAAGAAATAATAACTCTTGATTTTCTCACATACTGTGAGAGACCAGCTGAAGGAAAACCCAAAAGAGACAGAGAAGCCGCTGGAATCCTTGCGGCCCGTGAAAACCCAGCACGTTTTAGTCGAGTGCTCGTCGGCCCTGCTTCCTTTCTCTCGATCCGTCAGCCGCCGAGGCTGGAAGGGCACTGGCAGCTCTGCCTGGGACCCGCCTCCCCGCCGAGGATGGGAGCTGCGCATGCGCGTTGGGGTCGCGGTTGATTGTGATGCGCAGTGGCCATCCGTGGAGGCACCTGGTCCCTGCTGTTCTTTTTCTCGAGCAATTTTCAAATGCCGAATTTTGTGATGAAAATTATGCTTATGATGCGAATTTCACCTAATACGAGCTCAGACTTCGTAACATCTTCCTGCAGTTGTAACTGAGATAATGTGAATAACATATTTATTTTTAGTCGGACAACCGAAAATATGAGATACTCACACCCACACCAACTTACCCACACTCATCTACCCACACTCATCTACCCACCCACAACTACCTACCCACCCACACACGCACGCACACACAGAAAATCTCGCCCACTGAAATGAGAGCAATCGAAAATAAAAGCAACGCAAAGAGCATGTTTGTCTCACCCTCCGTCGCCTCTCACGCTCCACGCTCGCCTTGCAGACATAATGGACGATCGCGAAGGAGAAGATGGTCACGCCGATCACCGCCTGCACGATGCCGAGCGCGATCATTTCGATGTTGCCCGGATTTGCGATCGGGGAGAGGCACAGGGACAGGGTGATCACGACCGCGACGATGGAAACGCAGGCGATCGCGTACGCCACTTTTCTTCGCCGGTCGCGGGCGCGGAAGAACTCAATGTCCGCGGCTTCCATCGCAGTACTGAACGCGGCAGGAACTTCGTCGGCCGGAATTTCGTCGGCCGGAATTTCGTCGGCCGGAATTTCGTCGGCCGGAATTTCGTCGGCCGGAATTTCGTCGGCCGGAATTTCGTCAGCCGGAATTTCCGGTTAGCCTCGGGGTTCGGCGAAACAATGCCTTCGTATCCGGTCATCATATCATCGTTTCAGGAAGTTGCTGTCGAGGAAATCTAGCTGCAATGACTCAACGGTGACAACGGGAGACTCACCCCTTCCCATGTGGGTTTTCAATTGGCCCAAATTGGCCTGAATTTTGTTGTTGTTTTGAAAGCCAATGTAAGCGGAAATGCGTTCCAAGCAACTCAGGCGGTCGATCAAGTGTAAATTAGACGATAAAAATGCATGAAAGTATTGTTGCAAGTTTATTACGTTGTACCTTGTGAGGAATGAACATGGAAAAATTATTAATTAATAACTTAATTATCAATATCAATAGAAATTTATTAATAATAATAAGCAATAGAAATGCATTGTTAATTAAGGGCATGCTATGAAAACGAAACAAAATGCCTAAATACTAAAATGCAACCGTCATCTTTGCTTGCAATGAGCACTACCCAAGTGATAATTTCCGATTTTTGACTAAACTTCGGTCAAGGAAAGCACTCTCAAAAGGAGGCGGCACCAAAACGAAGCGGCAACGAAACGGGTTTGGACTCATGACTGGCTCTCTCGCCCTTCCTTGCGGACTCCCGATGAAACATCCTCACATCCTCTCGCGCTCGTCGAGTTCCATCTCTCGAGCGATCCTTGTTCTTTAGATCTGATCACAGGCGATGATCGCCAAAATGGTGCGAATTAAGCTGCCTATGGAGCTTATTGAGCAAACAGAGATTAAGAGATTACTGAAGGATCCCCTTCAAGGTAAATCTTTCTCTAATCACTCCCTTCGATTTGAGAGTGCCTTCGATGAGCCAAAATTCGTCAAAATCAGAAATTATCACTTCGGTTGTGTTCCTTTGTTAGCCCGAAATGCAGAGGTTCGACAGGAGGTTCTGCAGCGGCGGGAGGTTCTGCAGCGGCGGGAGGTTCTGCAGCGGCTGGGGGTTCTGCAGCGGTTGGGGGTTCTGCAGCGACTGGACATGATCGAGTCCGGAGAGATAAAGAAGGATTCTCGAGATGAGTTCTGTTCCGAGGTAAGAACTTTAAATCAGCGAAAATTCCTTACTTCTGAGAAATTGACAAGGGAAGGGTCACTGGTCAATTTTTTGCATTTTCGTCAGAATTCGCTTAATTTATTTTCCGGCCAGGACAATCAAGAAGAGAAAAAAGGACGCAGCCCTTCGGCTCGTTTTCGATCGATCGAAAATGAAACCGTGCCGAATCAGCACTCCCGTCTGACAAGGGACAGAGTTGAGTGGGCTCTAAGTCGTGTCTGCATAAATAAAATTATGATATTTATTATTATTATTCCTTTAATCACCATCATCTCTCTCTCCCTCTCTCTCCTTTCTCTCCCTCTCTCGAAATCATAAATAATTTTGCTGAAGCAGGTCACTTGGAAATCGACGTAGAGCAGAATTTGCATTTCGATGACGAATGTCATGATCCCTCGATTGCAAGGAAGAAGAAGAAGAAGTAAATGCATCGTCAGCGTCAGTCATCGTCGGTCATCGCTCTCAAGCCCAGAAGAGAAAAAGGAATGGGTCGGCTTTGAATTCAATCATGAAACCGCATGGAGAACTCAACGAGAGGATGTGAGGATGTTTCATCGGGAGTCCGCAAGGAAGGTCGAGAGAGCCAGTCATGAGTCCAAACCCGTTTCGTTGCCGCTTCGTTTTGGTGCCGCCTCCTTTTGAGAGTGCTTTCCTTGACCAATGTTTAGTCAAAATCGGAAATTATCACTTGGGTAATGTCCCTCGTCACTTTTTGAATCCCTCAGGGGGGCAGGATGGAACGACCCCCTGCCACCTTTGAGCCATTACGGTGAGCCATTCCGTTGAGTCCACTGCATATTTGAACTCCTTTAATATAAAATTGATAATGGCGACTTTTGATGAACCAATTTCGAAACATCGACGACTTCATGCAATTCATTCATTCAGATCGACATGAATTCATTTTGTTCCTTTACGCCAATACGATGGCCAATCCACCTGAAATTCGTTCGGACTTACCCAGGGGTCGATGAAGAGTAAATTAGATGATAAAAAGTTAATGAACGTTTAATTGAAAAAATAATTTTATTTTGTCTCAGCGAATCGGCAAGAAAACTTTCGCAAGCATAAATATAAATAATGAATAATTAAATAAATTGTATTTCATATGGGAAAGATTTGACGCTTCAATTGCAAAGTTGATTGAAATTATGGCATTTAAACAAATTAATTAAATGAATCTCATGTCACCTCACATCCGAAAGAACATGAGCGAAAATGCTGATTTCTGTTTCTTTCTATTTTAAATAATTATTTAAATAAATGGGTCACTTGTCTGCATTTGTCAATTGCTGAAATCCCGTCAGACCGGAAATACCAAATCGGTCCGGTCGACCTGGACTTCCATCTGGTCGACCTGGACTTCCATCTGGACGACCCGGACTTCCACAAATTGAGGGAATACCTTCCAGCGCGGCTTGCTCTTGACGAGACCGACCGGTTGCCCCGCTTTGGGGTCGGTGCGCTGGAAGACGGTCGCGCGGATGGCCCAACCCACGACCGACGCGTGGACCCAGGCGACGTAGCCCCTTTTGGCCCCCTCGGGCTCCCCTCCCGGCATCGCGATCGCGTAGTGCTGTTTGGTTTCGATCTTAGACCAAAGGTAGACGTAGGGCACGTTGGGGGCCAGAAACGCGTCCGGGTCGAACCCTTTAGCTTCACACTGGAAAGAAACAAATCAACAAATATTTTCATTAGCTAATGCATTAGTTAATGCATACCCTATATTGTGACAACGGTCGGGGACCAGAGGGAAATGAGGCGGCGTGGAAACTAATTTTCAAAGGTTTCCCCTTTCTTCAACCTAAATTGACCTAAATTGACCTAAATTGACCTAAATTGACCAAAATTGACCCAAATTGACTCGGATTGACCCATACCAACCCAAAGTAATCCAAAGTGACCCAAATCGAATCGCATGCCTCATGATCCTAGTATAATCTTCTTTTACCCGAAGTTACTCTTTCCTAAATCGAAATACAAGCTAAAATTAAAAACCCTTGAGTGACCTTGAATTTGAATGTGAAATATTGAATTTTGAAATTTGAATGTGAAATTGAAGGGAGCGTTAAGCGTTACATGAGCCTTTAGGAACTCCTTAATAGCTTAATAGCTCCATTCATAGCTGTTTGCAACTTGAAGAGATGGAATTTGTTCAATTTGAAAACGCGGTGGACCGATTTAACCGTCCTTCCAACTGTTACTGATGTCTGACGCCGATGCTAACAGTGGCAATTACCGTCAACGCCTGTTGTGTTCCTGTTGCCCAGCCATGACCCAATCGGCTTGGATCTCTGAACCTTACTATAAACATTGATGCTCCGTGTTTGGACTGATGCAGGTGGAGGGATCTACTCGTCCGACTGGAGTGTTCACTTGTTATTTGTTGCTACCCTTATAGGTAGGTAAGGTGGTGAGTAAGGTGGGGTACCTTACTTCCCTACCCTCATTACCCTACCTTTGTTCTCCTTACTGTTCTGTATAACTGAATTTTCAGTTTTCTTTACGTTGGTTGACTGAAATGACCTTGGGAAGAAATTATTTTAGCCTAATTCGCGCTTGAATGATTTGGCTCAAGTTGGGTCGAGGATCCCTTTGGGTCCCTCTAGGTCAATTTGGGTCACCATGGGTCACCGTGAAACACAATGGGTCACCACAGATTGCGACATCTCTTTTTTCCTTGTGTGTCACTCTAGGTCGATTTTAGTAACGTTGGATCACTCTAATGAAATTACATTGGTTCAATGAGTCAATTTGAGTTATACTTTGTCAGTTTGGATAGTGAGCTGCAGTCCGGAAAAAGTCCCCGTGCTAATAATGCTATGTAATCACTGCTAATCATTACAATAATTACAAAATTAGTAGATAATTGAGTGTCTTCCTAAATGAATGTGAATTCGCTGCATCGAAAAATTATGGCCTTGGCTGGGGAAGACGACGCATCTTCGGCGGATGATGGTCGCAGTAGGTAGTCACTTCCCAGATTCTCCTGAAACGAGTCCTCTCTTCCTTTGGTTTTCCCACGTGAATCTCAGAAGAAGGCAATCGAATTCCTACGAACATTTCTCTGAAGATGCAACCTAGCCCTGGAAATTCCGGCCCGAAGGTCCGTGAGAAGATCCTTCTACTTTCCATAATAAGCTACGAGCCCATTCTCTGGCATACCTTTGCGGTTTCCATGCGAAACCTTCCGTAAACCATCCGTATCCCGGTGATGGCCCGATGAAAAATTTTTCACTGGGAATTCGTAAAGAAACGATGCAAGTGAAATGGGCTCTGCGTTTTCGTTTTCATTTTGGTGCCCTCCGTTTATCGTCCGGTTATCGTCCGGTTATCGTACAGTCACCGTCCTTGCTTCCTTTTCTGGAATTGTGCATGGTACGCTCAGGCTGGTTGGGCGACGTAGTCGATGAATTCATCGGACCCAACGCGAAGAAGACCAGAGGAAAACCAGGGGAAAACCAGAGGAAAACCAGAGGAAAACCAGAGGAAAACCAGAGGAAAACCAGAGGAAAACTCGAACCGGTTTGCTTCAAAGGAAGGCTGGATCCTCCTCCGGTGACATTTTACCGTGACACGCTGTGGACCTCGAAGAGATTTCCACGTTCGGCTTTCGTCGGATTACGCTCGGATCTCCAATCCGCTTAGAAGGAATTCTCCTGAGAATGGGAAGGGAGAGGTGAGGATCCAAAGCGAAAACGGTTTTTAAAAGTTTTCCTTTAAAAACGTCTTATTTAAAAAAAAAATTTCGAATTCCGTTGGAGGAAGGTTCAACTTCGTTCCCGGTTTCGTTCCCGAATTTGTTCCCGGTTTCGTTCCCACTGCCAATCCGCTGCGAACTTGATGCAAAAAGGACGAGTAAGAGTTGCACAGGACACCGTGCAGATTCTCGCATTCCTCTCTGAACGACCAAGGCCAGAAAATCAAATGCTTCAATCGGACCGCCTGCCGCCAGTTAGAAGGTGACATGTAAGCGCACATTTTCGCGACGCGCAAGCGCGCTTCGAGCAGAACTACCACCGCTTCGGAAGGATATTTCTCCTAGTGCGCATGCGCAGACCTGAACTTGATCTCGTACCTCCAAGTGCGCATGCGCAGACCTGAACTTGATCTCGTACCTCCTAGAGCGCATGCGCAGAGTTTAGTGCCTCCTCGGAGGAGGAACGGAGTGGACGCTGCCGCGCGTCTCTCATCCATGCGTCGGTTGAGACGAGTTACGATTACCAGAAATTTCTTGCAGTTGGAATTACTCTTCAGCGAGAGTGACTTTCCCAGTAATCCAGGCGACCCGGAACCGACCTCGATCTCGAAATGCCCTTGTCTGCTTCGTATCGCATCAGAGGGGCCGAAGACACGCGAGGGACCTCGGATGAAAGTCGCGTGAGGCTGCATGGAGGAGACGAGAGTGGCTCCGTGTTCGCCGCGAATTTCACGCGAGAGGGCGCTGGCTGTCTCGCGTGACCTGCTTCTCTCTCAGCCCTAAATTTCTATTAATCCTCAGAATTTTTTTTTTTTCAGGGAAACTCATTGGAGATTTCGCGTTCATTCATAATTCCTTTTTTATATACAACTTTTTTCATACCATCACCAGCCGTGGAAGGATTGGCACCTATCGCAGAACGGGCTCATTTTTGCACGAAATTTGACTTGATATTGCATGCAGAATCTGTCAGTTTTACTTGCTTCCAGGAATGCAAAATTACAATTTAGAAATTAAACCCCCTTGGTACACGAAGGCATTCATTCCCCCCGCTAAATAACTAATGCTAATTTATGCGAGTCATTAAGCTGTACTGTGTGCAATGTATATATTATTAATGGGTTTTTAATAAGTAATCATCAGCATCAGAAAAAGAGGATGGAAGCCATGGCCTGGGGAAAGACCGGGGAGTAATGCGAAATCTCTATGATGATCGCAGCGCTCCATCTCTCATCTTCTCTGATGGGAAAAAAAAATGGCATTTTGAATGCACGAGAATCTGCATGTATCTCGAGTACAAAAGGTACTCGAAGTACGCGGGACTATTAAGGAGAGGATGAAAAGAATTTTTTTTTCCGTGAAAATGTCCATTAACGTGATGAATCAAGATTTTTCAGTTATTTTGCACGTTCAAGATCCTCTCAAATTTCTTTTTGCAACATATTTATTTTTTTTTATTGGGGGGGGGGTG